GGTGACATTGGGGTGACATTGGGGTGACACTGGGGTGACACCAGCGGGATCCCGGGGCTGGCGCTGTACGCGCCTGCGAGGGGACAGAGGGGACAGCAATGACAACGGGGGTGGCACAGGGGATGACACCGGCAACAGATGACAGATGACAGGTGACACAGGAGTGGTGACACAGGTCACAGGTAACACAGATGACACAGGGGTGGTGACACAGGTGACACAGGAGTGGTGACACAGGTGACACGTGACAGGTGACACAGGTGACACGGTGACAGGTGACACAGGTGACACAGGGGTGGTGACACAGGTGACACGGTGACACAGGTGACACAGGTGACACAGGTGACAGGTGACACAGGGATGGTGACACGGTGACAGTGACACAGGTAACACAGATGACAGAGGTGACACAGGTGACACAGGTGACACAGGTGACACGGTGACACAGGTGACACAGGTGACAGATGACAGATGACAGGTGACACCGGGATGGTGACACAGGTCATAGGTGACACAGGTGACAGGTGACAGGTGACACAGGGGTAGTAAAACAGGGACAGGTGACACCGGGGACAGGGGACACAGGTGACACGGGAACAGATGACACAGGGACAGGTGACACGGTGACAGGTGACACAGGGACAGGTGACACGGTGACAGTTGACACAGGTGACACAGGTGACACAGGGATGGTGACACGGGGACAGGTGACACAGGTGACACAGATGACACAGATGACAGGTGACACAGGTGACACGGTGACACAGGTGACACAGGTGACTGATGACACGGGTGACAGAGGTGACACAGGTAACAGGTGACACGGTGACACAGGGGTGGTGACACAGGTGACACCGGGAACAGGTGACACAGGTGACACAGGGGTGGTGACACAGGGGTGGTGACACAGGTGACACAGGGATGGTGACACAGGTGACAGGTGACACGGTGACACAGGGGTGGTGGCACAGGTGACACAGGTGACACAGGTGACACAGGTGACACGATGACAGGTGACAGGTGACAGATGACAGATGACAGGTGACACAGGGGTGGTGACACAGGTGACACAGGGATGGTGACACGGGGACGGTGACAGATGACAGATGACAGATGACAGATGACAGGTGACACAGGTGACACAGATGACAGGTGGCAGGTGACAGGTGACACAGGTGACACGGTGACACAGATGACAGGTGACAGGTGACACAGGTGACACAGGTGACACAGGTGACACAGGTGACACAGGTG